GGGGGGGGGGGCACCGCAGAGACGCAGAGACCGGAGAAGGGTGTTTTTTCAGAATAAAAAAGGCCCTTTGGGACAGCTGTGTGTTTGCGCCCAGGACGGGGAGGTGTCCCTCCCACACTGGCAGGTGGGGTGGGTCAGACTCGGGACAGACGCTCATGGCTTCAGTGACTCCCTTGTCCACACCTGGGGAGCAAAGGCTGCCTTAGGAGTGAGTGCTTCACAGGGCAGATGCGGGACAGACAGACAGCGGGAGGGAGGCCCAGCCGGGGAGCAGCCTCACCTCAGCCGTCCAACCGGTTCAGAGGTATGAGGACAGGATTTTTGTGGCGACGAGCGCAGACAGCCCTAGGCCAGTGGACAGAGGCAAGGTGTGGAGTGTGGGGCGGCTCAGGTGAGATCCGTGCCCAGGCGTCGTGGAGAATCAGGTGAGAGGGAGGAGCTGCTTCTAGCTGAAAGTCTCAAAAGCTAGCGAGCTAACTAGTGGATTCGGGCCTAGGTACCCGGCTGGCAAGGAGCTAACGTTCTAAACTCCCCGGATGTGTTTCCCCATAGTTTAGGCTACAGTATGGCCAGTGGGAGGAGAGTGGACTTGAAGGTCAATTGAATGGCTTGAATTCCAGTGGTGCCACTGAAGCAGCCCTGCTCTGCTGCAGGACCCCGGGCCACTTTCTGTGCCCCAGGAAGCCTAACTACCCCATGGGTCAGGTAGGAATAGTTGTATTGGTAAGTGGAGTAACATAAATAAAATATCCAGTTGAGTATGGCACCGAATAGCTTACCCAGCAAGTGCATGTACCCCCCTTTAGAGGGCTTGACCGTGACCAAAGGGAACAGTCGAGTGGAGATGGAGACTGAGGTTGCAGGTTTACCACGGACTAAGTACCCTAGGGATCCACACGCAGGCCCGGCGGGCGGCAGGGGAGGGGAAAGGAGAGGACTGAAGGGAAAGTTGAGCCGCGGTTCAGCCTGTCCTGCAGGGTTGGAGCTGGGGGGACCCTTGGGCACTCCCTTGGTTAGGTCCAAGGGGCCAGGCCTTTACACTCCACGTCAGCCAGGCTTTGGATATGTCCGTGGAAGATGTAACCTTGGTCAGTTCGCTGTCAGTAGCCACAGTCCCAGGGAAATAACCCTTCATTCCTGAAGGGGACCTGGGTGTCCGCCATGTTCGGTTAATGAGTAGGGCTCTTGTCAAATTAAGTAGGTGACACCCCAGGGATAAGGCCAATCTTGCTGGGACTCTTCCAGTAACTTCTCAGAGCCAACCACTTCAGCTGCGTAGACAGAGCCACATGACACCGTGTCCCGTCCCACCACTGCTTTGCCAGGACCACCTTCAGTAACCCCATGTGCACTTTAACCCCACTGCTATTTGAGTCATCTAAGCTAACTTTCTGTGTTAATGTTCTGCCTCTCCCAACTAGACTGTTCAGCACTGTTTCCCATAGTTGCTGCCTTGGTTTCTGTCTTAAATGTTTAAGGAACACCTGTTGCTGGAGGGGAATTCCTGGTTAGGTCGGATAACCCACTCCTGGGGGAGGGGTGGTTAGGGTGAGTGGGAGGAGCAGTGTGGTGCTCCACTCTGAGAATCTGCCCAGACACTTATCTAGAGCCGCACCTTAGCCTGGAGTCAAAACCTCCAGAGGGCCTGGAATTAGCTAACACCCTCAGGACACTCTCACTTGGGAAACCCGGGAGGGGAGTGGGAAGGGCAGAGCTGGGATTTAAGTCCGGGCCCTGGCACTTACTAAGGGCCTTGTATAAATCTCTGGTCTCAATGACTTCATCCACACACCGGAGCCAATACCACCTTACAGCGCCCTTGTGAAGGTTAGTGAGGTAATGTGAGTGTGGAATCATTACGCGCTCGACCCAAATAGACACTCTTGAAGGAGTATCACTGCCTTCTGACAAAAAAGATTCAGGAGCTTAAGGCAGCATCTTGGGTCAAAGGCAAGGAACAGTCCCTGTGAATGAGCTAACTGGTGAGGGCTATGGTCACTATTTCTAAGAAGGTGATCCTCAGATTACCGGCATCAGCGGGCCCCTAGGCCCATCCCCTGGAATCCGCATATTTAGCAGGCTTCCCAGGTCATACTGAAGCACAGTCAAGTTTGGGAACCACTACCTGCCTCCTTTCTCTTCTGCTTTTACCAAAGAATTGGCCATGATATGCAAGCAGGTGGCTGGATATATGTTTTCAAATAGTTTTATAGCAATTACAGTGAAGTGACTCCTGTGGACCAATGCTCACTGCCTACCTCTGACTCATGGGTATGAAAACACATCCAGTGTTTCAAAAGACATTTGAAATTTTGTTTCAAGTACTAAGCACCAAAGCCTCTTTATAAAACACACAGACAAGGCAGCATTGCTCTCAGGCTGTTATGAGAAACCAGATAATGCCCAGTGTTTGTTGAAATGATCATTAATTGGCTTAAATGCTGGAAACTGAAGATATGTAAACATCCACACTGTTTGAAAAACTTTTGTTCATCAAAGGATTTTCAAGTGCTTTTGTCTGGCTACGGCTTGCCTTTACTAACAATGTAGCAGCAACAGCACTGGACCAGGAGACCTGGGCGCATTAGTCACTGGTAGAGTGAGAGGCAGGGCAAGACTGGGCCTTCTGAAGTTAGGGTACAGGAATCGTGGGTGGCTTCAGGGCCTGGACCCTGTGAAGCCATCAGCCAAATTTGCATACAAGCATATCCATTTTTCTAGGGATAGAGTCTAGCTTTTCTTAGATTCTCAAAAGGTCCAGAACCTCCAAATGGTTTAAAAATTACAGACTGGTATCAGGAAGGCTTTTGCCAGCTCTAAATTCTAAAGAAAACCAACGTCCAGCTCCTTTTGGGGTCTAACTGGATGGGTCGCTGACTTCATTTGGCGTTTTAAAGCCGTGACCGAATGCTCCCCTCCACTCCACTTGCTTCTTCCCGGAACAAAACAGGCCCTGTTGAGCAACATTCTTTACTTTGTACAAACAAGACTATTTTTCCCCAGACAGTATGATTTAACTTGTTTTAATGCAGTCTGCTATAAAAATGGATGAAGACTTGTACATGGTGCATTTGCTTTACAAATGTTAATGGCTACTTAATGCCTGTGCTATGTGCTGCACATTGTTATAATTGACCAGTAAATGTAGCTTTTGCAACATGGGTTAAATACCAAAACTGTGAATCATGGAACTTTTACTCAGCACACACAACCTACGGCAAACTTAAATACTAATCTATAACACCTAACTGGATTACTGGATCCATCGCAGTATTGTGCTTATTTATCTCAGAAGATAGGCAACTAGCAAAAATACACATTTCTTTTTCATTTCCCCACCCCCATATTACACTGTAAAAGAAATACATTATTCAGTGCACTTCCTAAGAAATAAACTTCCTCATAATCTCTCTCTATATATATCTATGCCAAGACAAAGGAAGAGCACAATGCAACCTTTAAGATTACCATTTAAAGCAAGAGGTAATAACACTCTGGGACTCTAGCCCCTCTATTTAGAAAGTTCAGCTATTTTATCATCAACACCATCATTTGGCTAAGCGTGGGAATAAAGCTCAGTGCATGATTGCTTTGGGCAGTTTAAGATACTCCCTTCATCACTGGTAGACTCCCTGGAGCATTAATAGCTTTTAATTTTTGAGTATTGGTTTTAATCAAACCATAAGCTGTGGAGACACCAATATGCTCCTCAGTGAGTTCTACATTAATTTCCATCACCTGCCCATCAACTCATGGGATTAAGAGGAAATAGGCTTAAATGACAGCAGGAGGTCAGGGGCTGCTGGGTAGATGTTGGCTACGAGAATGCATGAGGACACCATCCCTGGACACCGTGTATGTGACGTCCATCCCCGTGGACACAAAATCCTATCACCACACCAGAGACGGGTTATGGGCAGTCGTCTGGGAGAGGGAGATGGTCATTATACTCTACGGACTTTGCTGTACAGGTGGGAAAGTCTGGAGGCTTTTGTCCTCACAAATTTGCCATGATGAAAGTGACATGTTTCTAACAAAAGAGATTGCAACTCAGAAGCTCATGGACTAAGTCCAGCTGCAGAAGTGTTTAACTAGCAGTGTTTAAACTTTTCTTGAATCAGTTCTTGATATTTAAAAATGAGAATGTTTCTCATGAAAATTTGGCTTTTATAAAAAGTTGAGGAGCTGGTAACCCTGTCCCAGCATTTAGCTGGACTGAACAGGAGTGGACAGGCCTTTAAATGGGGCTTGGGCACTCCAGTTTGCTATGCCTCCTACCACTCCCAGCTGTCTTATACCACGGGACTGAGTGACCCGTCTCACCCATTTACGGGGCCAGTTGAGTTTTGTGACACTGGGGTTAGTTTGGCTCTGCCTTTTCATGAATCTGAGGACCTGACTTCATTTGGAATTTCCCCCACACCCTTGTGACACAATTGCTCCTTTGACTGACTGGGTTCCAACCCATCTAGTTGCTTTGGTAGGTAATCTTAACATGCATTTCTTACTCATCCTTTATGCTATATGCAAACTCCAAAGATATAATCACATTAATAGTTGTGTTTAAATGTGTGTATGTTAAACATGTAAAGGAGTGTGAATCTATACAGGGATATGAATACTTCCATTTAGGCAAAAGTTAATTTGGTTCCACAGATACAGACACCAAGTGCTGGTAGCCTGGAGAATACGTGTGACAATTTGGTCAAACCTATAATTCTGACTCATATTAAAAGAGTGGATTTTAAGTTATTGCTTTTTGATTACAGAATAAAGATCTCATCCTGTTGCAAAACTTTTACACAGGACGAGTAACCAGCTCCTATTCAAGTAACAGCAGTCGGAACCAGAAGCTCCTTACTCAACAGTAGATGCCTGAAGACACTTTCTGAATGGAGATGTGACTTCATCCTATTCAGGAATTTATGCAGGAAACTGGGGGCGCCTTAATTTTTCAAGAGTACAAGAAAATCAGCACCCCAGCTACTTAATGCTCAGGAGGGCTTCTCACGGGCTCTAAGCAGCTCTGATTGGTGGCGAGCTCACACCCACCTTTAGGATCCCCACGCTACTTATGCAGCTTTAGGATTAAAAACAGCGAGAGAGGATTAAAGCAGTGCTCGTTTTTTGACATTCAGAATTCACAGAGGATCCGTCTCATTTTCTGCAATTAAACGAGCCGTTTTGTGTTTCTGCTGCAGACTCACATTCATTGGGCGGTCTTCTGTCAGGCACTTTTAAAACATGTTCATCTGGAATGAAAATCTGCAGGAACCACTTCTGCATAATTCAAAATGAGAGTGATTCTAGTCCCAAAATAGACAGCGAGTCACCACCTGGTACTCAGTTAGCTCCCTCCATCACAGCTCGATGGTGACTGCCGAGCTTGAGATGTCTCTGAGGTGTCCTTCTAGCTTTCTAGTACAAAGAGGTGTCATAAAAACCCAACTACTCAGTTTCTACTTAAAAAAATACAAAAAGGTGGAATACACTAAATGTATTATACAGATGGTTTCAGCTACTGTCAAAATAAATAATATGATCTGACTCAACGGTCTGACTCCGGCTCTTGGACAAAACCTGCTGGAATGTCACATGTGGAGACCCCCGCCCCAGGGACTAGCTGCTGGTTGGCAGAAGTATCTCCACATCCTTGCCGTTGGCCACAACGGCATTGGAAGAGCAGCTGCTCGCAAGGTCTTCTGTGGCGGTCACAGAGGACGCCTGGGAATGAGTTTTGGTCAGTGGAGTAGTAGTGGATGGGGAAGGAGTGAGGCCAGGTTTTTTGGGTGGGATGGGTGGAGGGTTTCCTCTCTCGGCTCTGGGGATGGTAGGGGACTTGATCCCTGGAGACAGGGGACTTAGAGGACTGGACACTTTCCCTGGAGTAGGTGAATGGCTGGTGTCACCCCTTGGGTTGGCAGTGTTGGCCAAGTTTCGATAGTCTGTGCCGAAGGGAGAGCTGTTGGGTGAGACGGGCTTGATGGGCCCCTGCTGGCTGGTGAATCTGGAGAGCACCTGCGTGACCGTGTTTCGGGCCAGCTGCTTGGCGGCCGAGTTGTCTATGAGGGTGGGGGACAGATCCCTGGATGGAGGGCTCTGCAGCCCACTGGCTTGTTGGTCCTGATCCGCTTGGGACTGAAACTTGTGCCGAGCTGCATGGAACCGCTGGTTGATCCCTACTTGGTAGGATGACTGGTAGCCGGGGCTGCTGGCCGAGGCCCCCAGCAGGCGCTTAGTCAGCACTGGTGAGGAGCAAGGGGAGGACGTGAGAGAGGACGACGCAGTGCTGCTGGGGGACAGCGAGCTCCCGCTGGACGGGAGCTGACTCGGCCCTGGGACAGGACTCTCGCCTCCCCCGGCACACCCACCATTCTCCACGGCTTTCTCGTGGGCCATGCCCACAGACTTCTCTCGAGGAGGCGCCTGGTTTTCCACACTGCTGCCTAGAACTGATTCCTTGGTGGCTGGCACCTCTGGGTCAAAATGACCATTGGCTTTTGCATAACAGTAAGTAGGAGTGGTGGGGCCGGGCAGCCCAGTGGCTGTCATCTTGGCTACACCGCTCCCATGGGTTCTTTCTGCCTGAAAACTCTCCGTTTGGCAGAAAACAGACATGAGCCTGGGAGGCTCAGTCCCTGTGCCTTTAGACGTGGTCACTGGCTTCTTTGATTGCTCATTAGGGCTCCTATGCTGGTGAGAAGCTTCTAGATCCCTCACAATCTTCTTCAGACTTTCCATCTCTTCTTTCAGAGTTTTGGTTCGATTCTCTTCTCGGTTCAGTTTTGCTCTCAGTTGCTCTCTCTCGATGTCAAACTCAGACAACTGCTTCTCCACCTGGGCCTCAGTCTGCAGGCCTCGCTTCCTCTCGGCCGCCAGCTCTTCCTCCAGCTCACTCACCCGGCCCTTCTCCTTTTCCAGCTTCAGGCTCAGCTCGCCCGCCCTCTGGCCCTCCTCGGCCGCCTTGCTGCTGGCCTTCTTGCACTCGAGCACCAGCATGGACGAGAGCTGCTTGTGGCGGGCACGCTCCTCTTCCAGCTGGCCTGACAGCTTCTTCTGCTCCTTCTCAAACTTCCTCACTTGGGACTTTTCAAATTCCAACTAGAAAAAAGGCCACCACACATCTTGATTAGAAAGCAAACAGACATACTGAAAAGGTATTGCAAGTACAGTGCCCTGGCCAGCTGTCCTCGGGACACAGGATGACATGTGCCATGTGCTGAGGTCAGATGTTCTAAAGTGTCAGAACATCTAACAGCAGAAAAGCACACACTGTAACTTAATCTTTCTTTGATGACTTAGGAGGCACCCTGAGTTCTTATAAAGCCTCAGGGTTACTGGTGGGAATCTGAAATATCATCGTGTTTCAGGTGTGTGGAAAGTTCAGAGGATCAGAAACAACAGAACACAGAGCAGGGAGCGGGGAGCGTGTGAATGAGACTCTGTGATGAAAGCCGCCGGAGACGGAGCCTCTAGCTTCCGCAGTAACTCTGGGCTTCCACACAGACGGACAGCAGTAGCTGCATGTAAATCATGCTTTTATACAGACGCAGTCTGTTTCACTCATCCTCCCAGCCCCATTTAAAGGGAAGGAACCCTTTTAGCCAGTACTTTTCACACTTGAGACCCATTAATGGATGGGGAAACCAACTGAGTGAGTCATGACCAGAACTTTTAAAAGATAAAGTAGAAGAGGAAACACCGACGTGTACTGTAAGGATTATGTACGATTTCATGATATTTCTGTCAGGCCTGTGTGTATAACTGGGCTGTGATGTAAGATGTATTTCTTACTGGGTGTCCTAAGGCAGAAAAAGTCTGAGTGTTCGAAGCTAGTGTTCCCCACAGGCTATCTACGGAACAGCAGTCCCACAATGAGTGATTTGTAGCAAGAAAGGTTTTATGAATACAGATTTGCTGAACCCAGAATAGCCTGCCTTTCTTGAAGACGCAGTGTGCTTCTGTATGCTGAAGGGTCTAAGAAACTGGCAATAGAAACGGCTTAACTTTGTTTAATCAGCAGTTCCTGGGTGTATCTGACCACAGAGCCTTTTTCCTAGAGCAACACCAACTCGGCCACAGCACGGTGTCCGAGGAACGCTGGTCCAGGCGGACGCTGCTGTGGGCCGCCCCTGATTACCTGCTGGGTCAGCCTCTCTCTCTCCTTCTCCAGCATGTAGGTGACATCGTCGCCTTCTGCAGTGTCCTGGGCATGCCTCTGCCTCTCCTCCTCAAGGTCGAGGATCACCTATAGAGAGTTAAAAATCACTTCCAGATATCAGGGAACCACACTTAAAACGCAATCAATAAATACTAAGTGGCCCTCTGAGTAAGCGCCTAAGACGGTTTCAGAGTCAGACAGACAGGCAGGGCCTGGTGAGGGATCAGGAGCACGCAGCCTTCAGCAGACAGGCAGGAATTTAGGTAGCACCTGGGAGGAAGGGAGGGGCTGAGAGCTATGGGACCTGGCAGTGGCGGGACTGCAGAGAGGCGGTAGCGGACAGAGAACGAGCCTGGCTCAGTCTGTGTTTCTCAGAAGTTATTTATCCCAACTTTATTCTACACCAATGTGGGCAGCCAGGCACCTGCTGCCCAGGCACGAGCCAGGTTACCCTCCAAAGACACAGAATGGACAGGCTCAGGGTTTGGGAAATGTGACAGAGGATGGGGTGAGGAGAGGGGGTTATGTTTGTTTGGGGAAGATGGTAGGGAGGAGAGAAAAGGGAGGTGGAAGTAAAATAACAAAATCCACATCACTCAAAGAATCTTACACTGAAATACAGTATGAAGGAATTCGGAATTATTTCTAACTTTTTTCTTTCCCCAATCACCCAGAGCCACAAATCACCCCAACGCTGCCCCTTCCCTGGGCTCGACAGCCAGCAGCCCTGCAGCACAGCTCAGTGACTTCCTGTCTGAAGTGGGAAAAGGCCTGCCTCCCAAAGCAGGATGCTGTGAAGACTTTCTTAGAGGATTATGTGCCCTCTCCCCACTTAGAGGCAACTAACTCAAACCCACTGACACATTTTAAGTTGGGGCATAAATGTCTTCAGGTTACTTCAGTAGTAGGCCAGAGGTTAAACTTTTCTGGGTCTTGGACAGCTTTGAGAATTCAATTAAAGGTAAATTTTCATTTTCTATAAAAATGCATAAGCTTTTGGCATCCTGCATATTTTTAGGGAGATCGTGACACATCTGAGGCCCATCCATCGTTGAGAACCTCCACGCTGGCCTTTCATTTGGACTCTGTGAAGGGACGGAAAATCCACGGGCGAGACCTGAGCCTAAGCCATTGTTGGATGCGTTTTAAGCAAACGGCTCTTGAAGGCAGGTAAGTAACCATAAAAGTAAGCTAAGGCCCGTCCAGCTGCAGCTGCTCACCCCGTGTTTCAGAATGAGTGGCTTCTACCAACTGTGCTGATGCCCGCACCCCACCCCACCTTGCTGGCATAAATCTAAGTCAATGGTTTTTTAAAAAAAGCACATTCTAGCCAAGCATGTTTTACAGGCCAGATTTCAGCAGTAAGCGACAAGGCTGGGAGTAACATCATAAGCGCTGGAATTCCAGTGGGGTGAGGAAAGCACAGGTTTGCCTTCCCAACGAGGGCTGTAAGACCCAGAGCCACACACACACGTCAACAACCCTCGCGAATGTTTATGTGGTTTCATGAGAAGTAAAATGCAACAAAACTCAACACTAGAAATAAATGAAAAGAATGTAATGGCTTACAGTCAGGTAAATGCTCTCTCTCTGGCTCATTCCCCGAATACCTGTTAATCTTTCTATTTATCACGTAAGTAAGCAAACAGAGAACGCTCCTTTTAGCCACAAGCTTGGCCACACCCCAGTTTGTTGCCAAAGTTTGAGTGATCGAGAGCAGAAAAAACATACCAAGTGTTTGGAGTACCCTATCAAGAAGGAATGCTGTCTTGGATGTGTCTGGCACACTCCCTAAATTTAACATTTGCATCAGCCTGTGTTTTCTTTCCTATCTCCTGGCTCCTCGGTGAGCCGAGGGGCTGTTTGAGACCTGTGGAACCTCTGACTGACTGACTGTGAAAACTGGCAGCTGACAAGGAGTGTCAGGCATTATTTATAAAGTCTCCCCAAGAGCTACGTGGCCCGCGTCGGCAGGCGAGCCCACCTTGCGATGCCTGCTCTCGGCGGCAGCCAGCTGGGACAGCATCCGCTCCTGCATGTTCCTGCACTGCTTCATCACCGCCCTGAGGATGGACAGGGGGCTGGCGCACACTGGCTGCTTTTCGCCTTCCTGCTTTTCCTTCAGCGTTTCAAAGTCTCTCTGCAGCGCCATCAGGGGATCGCTGATGTTGTATTTCCCATAGCGTTCTTCGATGAACGTATCTCTGTGTTGGGCCTGGAAGAGAAAACAATTGCATTTTGCTTTTGAAAACGATTGAAGAGGGGAATTTGCTAGCAGTTATACATTAAAGGTGGTGGGTTAGTTTGAATATAACCTGCCTACAAATCAGATGGGGCCACCTAGATGTAGAAACGACATCAGAATGGGGGCACAGTATAATAGTAACGAGGTCAAATACTTATAAAGAGCTAACTACGTATCAGACACTGTTCTCAGCATTTATATTAACATTAACTTATTTAAATTTTACAACCCTATCAGGTAGTGATATCACCTCCATTTTGTAGCTGAGAAAACTATTACGGAGAGGTCAGGTAACCTGCTCCAGGTTCCTCATCTAGCAAGTAGTCACACGGGGATTTAAACCCAGGCAGCCTGAATCTAAAGTCTGTGCCCTGAAGCCCCACACTCACTGCCTCTGCTTATGATGCTTATATTACCCACAGATTATAGCACTTGCATTTCTAAAATATGCCAAGCATGAAAACTGTGAGTTGACATATTTGGAGACTTATCAAGGTGGCTGTAGATAAGTAAAGCATGCTAAGAATGGTTCACATTATAACCCAGGAATCCCTGTGATTTGTACATACGGAACCTCACCCAGTTGGTGGGTCAAGAGGGCAGAGACACTTGCAACTAGAGGTGCAGACAAATCCCTCCTACCTGCTGCCAAACCCCACCCCCTCTTTAGTCTCTGCTACAGGTGGCTCAGCCGCTACCTTCCATCCTCTCTGCGCCTGCAGGGGTGGTGAGCTTTCAGGATGAGAGAGGAGCAGGGAGTGCAGGCTGGTGCTTGGAGTCTGGTCTCGGCCTTTGGGCCTGGGTGTCCAGTTGGGTCTAAGGATCAGGAAGGGAGTGGAAAGATATTCTCAAGCCTCCTGCTTCTCTCATTTCTGATGGGAAGGGCCTGAAGTACTACTTCATAGGAGCATCACCATATACTATGTGCAGGCGGACAGAGCGACCTTAGCAATTACTTTACCACACAGACATTAAAGTTTCCTGAGACATTTTTACAAAAAGTGTTAACATAGCATTGAAAAAACTTTCTCAAAAATCACAGCAAAGTACCATATTAATTTAAACTTTCAAATCTAGTTACGAAAGTTACTGTCACTTATCAATTAAAAGTTTTCATCAGGAGCTATATTTTCTTATAACTACCATTCACAAATAGGAACCCATCTGAAAGGGAAATTCACAATTCAATGGCTATGCTTAAAACAAACAAACAACCCTAATGAAATAAAGCATGGGGTTTCTTTAACAAAGAAGTTTCAGTGCTGAAAATCTGATGCCTCCTTTTTCCTTAAAATGTCCAAGTTCAAGACCCAGGAATCACAGCCTGTGCTACTAATTTGTGTTGGTATCAGTTTGCAAATGTTCAATGCAGAGCTAGAAGCACTGTGTTTTACTTCTGCCTTGACCGAAAGATGACATTGTTGGAGTCTCTGGAAAATGTTTGTATACTGGAAATAGGTTAAAGGGGGGAGGGACTTGAAAGACAGAGTCACAGATAGAATCCTTTTTTTTTCAGTTCCAAATTAAAAAGGAAATTTTCAGTAAAATTTCAAAATAAGCGCTGGTCCATTTAGAATGGAGAAAAGACCAATTCCTGAATTGCCTATTTATATTTTATTATATTTCAAAATCATGGTGAGAGTTAAGAAAAAGCTAGTTTTCAGTTGTTTTTTTTTTTAATTTTAAGGACACACTTTTTTAAAAAAAAATATCTTTAACTGATTTCACAGGGAGGAAGAGAGACAGAAAGAAACATCAATGATGAGAGAGTCGTCATTAATCAGCTGCCCCCTGCACGCCCCTGACTGGGGATCGAGCCCACAACCGGGGCATGTGCCCTGACCGAGAATCAAACCACGATCTCCTGGATCCTAGGTTGATGCTCAACCGCTGAGCGACAGCTGGCTGGCAGGGCACACATTTTTTAAAAAGTTGATTTTAGCAAGAGAGTACGAGGGAGGGAGGGAGAGAGAGAAACATTAACATGAGAGTGAAATATCGGTTGCTTCCCACATGTGCCCCCAACCAGGGATTGAATTTGCAACCTGGGTATGTGCCCTGACCAGGAACCGAACCCAGGACCTTTCAGTGTATGGGAGACACTTCAATTGAGCCACACTGGCCAGGGCTTCAGTTACATTTTAAAAAGCAATAGTGTCAAACAATCCAGGACTCATCAATGTTTTCCTTTCACCAAGAACATGTTTCTTTATGTTCAAGTATAAAGAGATGAGATTGATAACCTAGGATTCAATGAAAGTATCTTCTATTTATAGCTATTAATGTCCTAAGGCAAATCCATGGTTAAAAAAATGCTTGGACAAAGTAAGTAAGAGGGGAAAAAAGACTTCAAGAAGTTGAAATTCCACTTTTCTGTCTCATTTTTTATTCATGGTTACCATTTCTGCGTGATTAGCGATGGCAAAGGAATGATTATTGGCACTGGAATTGGTTTAGTAGGGCAACTGCCCTGCCCCCCACAAAAATACCCCGTAAACCTGAATATTTTTATGACCTTTCTTTTTCAGGACACCATGGAGAAAGAGGGACGAGAGCAGCAGCTGGGGATACAACTCAGGACCTTGACGTTAGATCTGCTGAAAACCGTCTCTCAGGTTTGAGCATATAGTTAACTAATCCTGAAAAATATGACTTTTTAAACCCACACTGTTATTACCCTGTATAATTAATAAGCACCATGAGTTATGAGTAGTGGATGAGGAGCTTGTTTGGTGAGGTCCCAGACCTCTGAGACAGTTGTTAAGCTGTCTGTTTTCTCTTGAAGTCTCACAGTAATTCCACAATCACTTGCACAGTAATTACAAGTTGTACAAAATTGGTGGCTTTGCACATAAATGAAAAGAATCTGCGGAATAATTTTAAAAAGCCTCCTTGTCACAAAACAGTTCATTTAAATACATTCTAATATGGGAAAAGGGAATTCAAGGTCTGCATTTATTATACCAAACACTGGATCGGAAAATGGGAGACAGAATACAGTATTTTTCAACCAACTTAGCCTCAGTCAGGTGAGTTGTATGGATGAGCAGTTTAATAGCACAAATAATGACAATGACAATAACCAAAAACTGGTGTTAAGAATTGAAGAACAGAAGAGCTTTGCCAGAGGGGGCCATTGATTATCTATTGCCGCATAACAAACTACCCCAACATTCAGCAGCTTAAACAGTAAATGCTTTTTTTCTCATAGTTTCTGAAGGTCAGGAATCTGGGAGGGGCTGGGCTGGGTGGTTCTGGCTCAGGGTCTCAGGAGGTTGCAGTCCAGCCACTCACTGGCCAGCACTGCAATCATCAGAAGGTAGACTAGGGCTGCTGGGTCCACTTCCAAGCTTACTCGTGTGGCTCTAGGCAGAGGCCTTGGTTCCCTGCGTGTTCTGGTGCCCCACAGAGTAAGTGATGAGAGAGAGAGAGAAACACCAAGACGGAAGCCCCAGTGTCATTTATAACAATCTTACAGTGACACACCATCACTTCTGAAGTACTCTGTTGGTCACACAGACCAACCCTGGTAAATGTGAGAGGACCACATACATAAAGGTGTGACTATCAGGAGGTGGGGTCATTGGGGGCCACCTTGAAGGCCTGGCTGCCACAGATGAGTGACTCAATATGCTACCGCTATTTATATCTCAGGTGAAAATTTGGTAAAAACTGTCAAGGCTGAGTTTTAATACTTTAATGGTATTTCAGCTATTTTATTAGAAAATTATAAATGATCTTGGGGAAGCAATTCAGTTATACAGCTGAAACCAATCAATTTCTTGTAATTTCATCATTTTCACTTCAGCGACAACATATGCTTTAATTGCACAGAAATTCCTACATTGTCTGAAAACATAATGCTCTTTAATTTCAGACAACAGGGAAATAATGGGCTGGTTAGACAGATTCGATTACATAGGGTGTTACTACAGCAGCAAAACACACTCGTCGTCCAGTACTCATTTACTTTTACTGTCCCCACTGAATGAAACACCACTACGAGAGCTTCACATAAACCACATAATACCCTTGGTGTCTGCCATGCTTGCTCTCCAAAACTGTCAGCTTTGCTATGACAAACTCCAAAAAGAAACATGAAGCAGTCCCAATATTAGTTATACTGTTATAGGAAATTAATCTCTATTTAAAAATTTTTTTTTAAAAAGTAGGAATTATATAACTTAAAAAATATATATTTATTGATGTTGTTCCACTTATTTATGCATTCATTGACTGATGGGGGATTGAAACTGCAAACCTTGGCCTATCAGGATGACGCTTTTACCAACTGAGTACCCAGCCAGGGCAGTTAATCTCTTTATTCTGTGGACAACAATCACCAACAAGAAAAGTGGTTCCACGTCTAAAGGTGAAGAAATCAGGTCCATTTACTTGGGATTTATATTCAAATGTAAGGCTTCATTTTCAAGACTCAGGCTGCTACCATAACTGGATTAGAATGTGTCTTTGCCATTTACTGCAAATTCTGAAGTGATACTTTAAAAAGTAATCAGCAATATAAACTGTGTGTCTTTAAAAGTATGAGTAGCTCTATGTAAGAGATCAGAAAGACAAAAGAGCATGATTCCAAGATGGTTTTGTTAATGGCACCAAAGGCATGTTCAAAGGAATCCTTTTCACACACAAGCTGAATCTATTAATGTTCAAATAATTTAGATCCTGGAGTTCTTGATAAACTATAAATAGAGCTGCCTGAACAGGAAATAAAGCAACCGTTCTGGATAAAAATGATATCATTACAAGGATACCTTTTGTTCTGGAAATTCCTTCTCACTTGCTGATTTTAATGTTTTACAATTGATAAAATAGGATTGCACCTCACTTAAACTGAACTTTAATATTTGAAAAATGGTACAAAATTTAACATGGGAGTAAAAAGCGAATATTTTCATGATTTCACAAGTATTTCTAATATGTTACTGAAAGTCAGTGCTCCTTCCACTTACCCATAAACGCTATATTCTCAAATCTAGCCTTTTTAATGTGTTTATCTATTTAATAAGTTTGGCTCTAGAATCCAAAAGAATTGGGATTGGATCTTGGCTCTACTACTTTCTATCTGTGTTACCTTTAGCAATTCCATTACCTTCTCTGTGCTTCTGATTCCTCATCTGTAAAATGAGAGCAACAATCTACCTACAGAATTGTTATAAAAATTAAATGAGTAGTGTAAAATGCTTCCTGTAGTGCCTGGCACATAGTTAACACTATTATTTAATAACCAAGTTTAGAATATAGGTTTTTCCTTTATTTTAGACCCAATGATGAAACTCACCCCTGCAGATGTAAGATTATGTAAAATTGGATCAAGGCACGAAATCTTCATTTAAAAAGCAAAATAAAATCCACCAATTCCCAGATAACTCCAAAGTAATACATCACTAAAAATATTTCGGGAACCTGGATAAACCAATAACTACCTATTCATTTAGCAGTCAGTCCCGAACAGCTGTGTGACATTCTACACAATGTGCTCATTTATCTCTTGCATTACGAGTAAACATTTCCCATTTACCTTTTTTCTTCCTGCCTAAACTACAAGCAACTTGAAAAGCACTCCTCGTACCTACTCCTTCTTCCTGCATCTTTTATTTTGCCTGATGCCCAAGACACTTCACAGATGCTCACTTTTCAGCCTCTTTCCTGATGTCTCAGCCTCTCCTTACTCTCATCATTTTTATTAGGTATATTTCGCTGTTAGTAAAATCTATGATTTACTTAATATAATCACGTAAGGTAACATCAATTTATACATTCAGCAGTGACTGAATAGAATGAGCTTCAGAGATTCCTTTTGGAGTCGGTTTGCATCCACAGATATTTCTAAAAGCAATTATTTACATAAGAACAGATGATCATTTATTATTATTTGACTCGAATACACGAAATTCTTTGGAAGTTTAGTACAAATAGCTACAAGTGTGGTGCTTCTAGCTAGTGGGGTGCTTGTTGATAGAAAGAGAATGTGGGTAAACAGCATGATGTGGCTACTTCAACACTCAAATTCCAAAGAGCCCTGTGGAAACTTCTGGTAAAATGTGTTGAGGGTTTTTTGGTCTATTTTTTTCTGTATATGTGGTTGAAAAAAGTTACATAGACTCTGTGGACTGGGTCTACAGCTTTTTGAGGTGGGAAAAAATGTGTAAGGGATTCAACTAGTCCTGAACAAATTAATGCTCTCCATATAAATTAAGGATTTTAAGTACAATTTTTAATGACGCATTAGGTCCTAACCTCTCTTATTCAGGAGACAACATGTCTCTTAAAATGAGAGTTGACACCTGCCTTATCCAGTTTTCACTATGTGTCCCCGCCAAATGAAAAACAATAGAATAGAATGAAGAACCCAAAAGTCTGACTCCTGAATCTATGATTTTAAACAGTTTAAGCCATAACAAATATGTAAAAACTAAAAGTAACAGGGATCATCAGTATAATTATTTTAAACTAACAAATGTGATAAAAGTCTGCAAACTAGAAGTTCAGCCTAACATCAAATATACAACATAAACAAACCAACAAATCAAAACCTCTCTGTGTTATCAGGGTTAGACAACCACTGCTGAAGTCAGGGAAAATTTTCTGGACTATGGATGACCCACAGGGCACATCCTTTGGATGCTTCTGCTGAACACTCAACTTGCTAGGTACTAAGTATGCTAAATGACACAGGCGAGGACCTGGAGATGTGATTTGACTAAAGTAAGATTCTGTCCTCTGCTCCCAAGGAGCTGAACAGTTATTTGCCAGATGAGTTTAAGGCCTAACAGCAGAAATAAACAAGTTGGCTTTGCTTGGTAAATGTTTTTGAAACAGTATCATTCATGTTTAGAGGAACACCAAGTACAGTTTGTCTGGTCAGAACTTTCTAAGCTTCAGATCTTACACTCATAAGGAAAAGGAAGGAAAAGGCCAGCCCTGGAAGTGGGTGGGCTCTGGCAGATAAATGGGACTATCAGCAATTTAATGAATCACAGGAAACACCACAAGGCTGGGGGGCACACAGTCCACACCATCTCTGAAGTCCATAGAGAGACCCAGCCTGCAGCCTGCAGCTGTGTGTGATACTTGGAGTAACTACAACCTGAAAAACCTCCTTTACCAGTGACGTGCGCAGGCTCTTTCGCTCACTAAGTAGTAACAGCACAGAAACGAACCTCAAGATTAAAATATTACAAAGAGCTCACAGTAAAATGTGAAGGGATATCTTCCTCCCCCATCAGGATTCTGTGGAGGGAGATGTGTAATTGTGGGATGGGTCTTGACTCTAAACATTTGTTTCAAGCAAGATCCCTCCATTACAAACAGCCTGATACTTCAACAAAACATGGCAGGAAACAGGCTATTCAAATGTGAGGTCCTGGGAGGAGGGTCCCTTGCTTGGCTGAGAAGAAGTGTTCACATTCAGGTTTTTAAGTAACCAGGAGCAAGGAGTCAGCAGGGTAGAGGGGGTGCAGGGCTACACAGAGACAGGGTAGAGTGAAAACAGAGGACCCGTGTGGTTTGGACAGCCACACCACAGCGACAGCGAGAGCGAGATGTCAGGGCAGGCAAACAGCAAGGCAGTGCTAATCACACCCTAAAGACAAACGGTAGAACAGAATATCTATGATGACACAGTAACAGAACAACCCCATGTCAATTTAGAAAGCAAACAGAGGAAGGGGGAGCTGATGGAGATTGTGTGAAAGCCTAAAACAAAAACAAACATTGGAGAGACGGGAGCAGCAAATACATTCTAAAAGACAGAGAGCAGGTATCATTTAGACAGATGCCCACTGAGATCCTTAGCTGAATAGTCTGGGAAACAGTATTTTTTGTACATATCTAGGTAGATGAAAAAAGACAAGCAGTATTGTACTCTTCAAAAAACTACTATTTTCTCCAGTGTTCCCAAAGCTCCCATCACTAACCAGGCAGGAAACGCAGGTGACCGCATCCCAGTTAGAAAGGAAAGGACACCGAGGCAAAATGTCAGTTGAAAACTAAAATATGATCTTTGATTTTTTTTTTGGACAAATGCAAATACATAGTGAACAAAGGTCCACATCCCAATTACTTGGTACCTTTTACTACAAACGTGGAAACAGCACAAAGCAAAGGTTTCCTGTCAGAAGAACAAACTGTTCCTTCTCAGCACAGGGTGGCAGGTAGAGAATGTCACTGAGTAAACCATCAACAACAGTAAAAGTTATGAAACTATACTACTATCGTTAAACCTCTTTTCTAAAAAATATGGATTAATAAATGGCGATCTATTTTGAGCCTCGAACACATTCAAGTTTGACTTAAAGGTCCTGTATTTATTCTTTCATATGACAAAACATTTCTTTTTTCTTTTTTTTTTTAATATATCTTTATTGATTTCATAGAGAGGAAAGGAGAGGGAGAGAGAGAGATAGAAACATCAATGATGAGAGAGTCATGGACTGGCTGCCTCCTGCACGCCCCCGACTGGGGATCAAGCCCGCAACCCGGGCATGTGCCCTGACTGGGAATCAAACCCTGATCGCCTGGATCCTGGGTCGAAGCTCAACTGCTGAGTCACACCCAGCCGGGCGACAAAACATTTCTAAAGAACTCACTAGGTTCTAGGTACTTGGGGTACAGAGCTGAACAAGACTGTCCCTCATGGTGCTAACATTTAGTGAAAAAAAGAAAGACAGAAAATGTACTGGGTACAATAATGTGAGACGTTCTATGTATGAAGTTTCCAATCAGTAGAAACAGAGACTTCTGAACTTAACACAACCACATATTCATTTCTAGGCAGCACATTCGGTATTGAATTAGATTTAAAAAATTTTTTTAGGTTATGCATTCTTAGAACTCACTGGGCACAGCTGGCTTTCTGAGGCAGAAGCTACTCTTTGCTGTTGTCAAATGATGGGATATTACGAACTAAACGTATGAAACTGAAAACAGGAAAGAGACTTTTGGAGGGTTGCAGGTCTCCTGCTATGATAATAGTTTCTTGAAAATTTAATCATGTAGCTGCTCATATGCATGTCAGCTTTATTAATGAGTCCCTGACCCGTGACAGGATCTGCTAGGTATCCTGTACAAAAGCAGAATTTGAAAATAAGCGAAAAATTGACTTTTTGCTCTTTTGGGGAAAAAATCAGGGATATGGAAGTAACAAGATCATGCCCTTCCTAGGCATGCTATGCTTGTCTACACTCTTTTATATTTTAGAATTAACACAGATTATGTGAAAAGTATAAACTACTTAGAAGTAATGACAGTTCAGCTTCCTGCTCTCCCACTGCTCACACTATATTTCTAACAAATGGTCTGACTATACAATAGAATTCTACACAACCATTAAAGACTGACTGGTCTTTGTGTCACATTCTCCAAGATATAGTAAGACAAATAAGACAAAGAACAGTGTGCAGAGTAGAAAAAAACCGTTGCAACCAGTGAAGCCAGAAACAGGTCTCACAAACCCTCCCTTCTTTCTCCCCTGGGCTCCCTTGGGAAGGGCAGGTGCTCCCTCAAGGGTCTGCCGGGGAGAGCAGTGAAATCCGTGAGAGGGAAGCACCCGGGTCAGTGGGGCGGGGACCTTGGCAGAAAAGAGCCAAAAGAAGAAAAAGAAGCTGGGTATAAGTACGGCTGTTTATAAACCGCGTGTTTATGAAGAGGGCCGCGTGCTTAAGGAATTAAGCATCTCCGCTCCAATCAGGAGAACACTGAGCCCCGTATAGAACAGCTGACTCTTTTGTTTTTAATGCTCACCCAAGGATATTTTTTCCACTGCTTTTCAGAGACAGCAAAAGGGAGGGAGAGAAACATCAATGCAGGAGAGACACATCGACGGGTTGCCTCGTGCATGAGCCCCGACCAGGGCCAGGGATGAAGCCTACAACCGAGGTCCATGCTCTTGGCCGGAATCAAACCCTGGACCTTTCAGTCCCCAGGCTGACGCTCTAACCACTGGGCAAACTGGCCAGGGCAAACAGCTAACTCTTAAAAATAATTGTCTGCTATCAGCTACTTGAGATAACACAACTTTTTATCGCTTGTCACTGTTCACATTACAAAGGTGGCATTTAGGGGCTCAAGGTACCAAAGGAATAAGCACATTCCTCATTTAAGAGACATCCTCCTGGGCTCTCTGCCTCTCATGCCTTCGGGGAAAGAAAGGAGGGATCTGTGTGTAAAATGCTACCTCCTGAAAGCACACAGCTCTCTAGGAGTTGGGGAGAGGCTTCAGAAAGATGACCAGCAGTGGGGAATTTCACTGCATTCATTCAGCCTGAAACCAAAACAAAGAGAAAGGGGAAACGGCTTATTCCTGTTATTTTGACTTCCTCCTATTGTGTCTCCCTTGCACGTGTTAGCCTTGTGATGCGGGATTAATCAGAGGTTATTTCTAGCTGCCCTCATAAAAAGGAAAGAAAGGAAGACAAAATGCACTTGGCAAGCTGATTTTATTTATTTAAAAAAAATTTTTTTTAATGTCTTTATTGATTTCAGAGAGAGGAAAAGAGAGGGAGAGAGAGATAGAAACATCAATGATGAGTCATTGATTGGCTGCCTCCTTGCACGCCCCCAACTGGGGATCAAGCCCACAACCCGGACATGTGCGCTGACCAGGTATCGAACGGCGATCTCCTGGATCCCAGGTCAATGCTCAACCGCTGAGCCATGCCCAGCTGGGCTGGCAAGCTGATTTTAAAATTTATATGGAAACATCAAGGACCATGAACAACCAAAACAACTTTAAAAAACAACACAACTTGCACTGGCCGGGTAGCTCAGTTGGTTAGGGGGATGTCCCGATAAGCCAAGGTTTTGGGTCAATTCTGGTCAGGGTGCATACAAGAATCAGTCAATGATGCATGAATAAGTGGGACAGCAAATTAACACCTCTCTCTCTCAAATCAATAAATTTAAAGCAACAACACAAGTTGGAGGATTAACACTACCTGCTTTTAATACTCTAAGGCCGCAGTAATTAAGACAATGCAGTACTCGCATCAAGAAAGACAAATAGATCAATGGAGCAGAGACAGAGATTCCAGAAATAAACCCACAAATTCACGAGACACTGATTGTGACGAAGGTGCCAAGGCCAGTCTACAGAGGAAGACAGTCATTTCAACAAATGGTGCTAGAACAGTTGAATATCCATATGCAAAGGGGAAAAAAGGACTTTGATCCACATGTTGTACCCTCTTAACAAAATTAACTGAGATTGTATCATAGACCTAAGTGTAAAAGTTAAAGCTATAAAATTAGAGAAAAGAACAGGAGAGGACCTTTCTGACCTTGGTTTAGGTAAAGATTTCTTACACGTGACACTGAAAGCAAAATCCGTAAGAGAAATATTAATAAACTGGATGTCATCCCAATGAAAACCTTATGCTCATCAGAAGATACCACTGAGAATGAAATGACAAGCCGTAGGCTGGGGGGAAAGGCGTGAATCTAATAAAGGACATACATCCAGAGATAGGAGGAATGCTCAAAAATTAATGAGAAAGCAAGTAATTTTTTAAAGCAGTTTAAAAAACGGGCAAAAGATTTGAACAAACACTTCAGCAAAGAGGACACCACGGATGGGAAAGAAGTACACGAAAGCTGCTCAGCATTATTCATCAATAGGGAGCTACAAATAAAACTGCAATAAATATGATACACCTATTAGGGGCTAAAATGAAAGGACTGGCCATGCCAAGTGTTGCTGAGGATGTAGAGCAACTGGAGCTCTTATACATGCTGGTGGGAATGTGAAATGGTACACCACTTTGGGAAACAGTTTGGCAGTTTCTTAAAAAGTTAAACATGCATCTACCATACAGTATAGCCACTCCACTCCTAGGCCTTTATCCAAAAGAAATGAAAGCACATGTCCACATAAAGCCTGGTATATGAATGTTC